ATATATATATATATATATATATAATTTCTTTATTTCGAGTTAAAATGAGCAGAACACAATCGAACAATGAGTTATTTATGTTCGGCTCATTTATAATTTGAAATACACATTTCTCTTGATTCTTCAACAAGCTAGACCTAATTGACACAAACCTTTCAACTTGAACTCTAATTGCTCGCAACATTTTCTTTCATTTATTTAATCATTTTGAACCCCCAACTTATCCTCCCAAATCCCAACATACATGTTATGGATGATTCTAAGCCACTACTCTTTCAACTGCTACAACATCCCGAATATTGCAGATTCCTTGTGAAGAAATTATCAATTTACATGTACATAGGATGACGTCATAATAGCTGTTTAAATAGACTAATTTGTAAAATGCAACTGTACAGTTGCAGCAATGATAGAGCTCTTTAAAAATGAGAATACCTTTTTTGCTGCCCCGATCCATTTGAAAGCCTTCAATTGTGAGAGCAACGGCTAGTTCCTCAGACTGCAGAGTGAAATTTTTGTATGCTATTGAGACCTGCAAGCATACAAGTTAGAAGGTAAAGTGACATTTATGAAAGAATCAAAAACTACATATCACAGGATGAGAATCTTTCAGGTTGAGAAATTTTAATTGTTAGGGACATTTACATACATAAAACCCAATTCCTATGTATTTACATATCCACAACTAAATTTTGCTTTTCATATTTATGCCATGCAAATCTCTCGTATCACAAGAAAAACATCACCATTTTAATGTCTAAAAAGTGAAATACACCTTTTTCATGCATCGGTAAGGTGGTATGTATGTAAAAATTGAAGTTTGTGTGTTAGATATGTAAATACATAGGAATTAAGTAGTATGCATGTAAATCTCCCTTACTGCATATATTGGAAGTGGGGTGTTTACTATGCTGGGGGGAGCGAACGCCGGCAAGTAGGGCATTCCATCTTTATGTCCATCCACCGCTGCAAGCAGCCGGAATGGAAGAAGTGATCACATGGTGTCACCTGCATCATTAAAGTTATAAAATTAAAAAATAAAAGAGTACATGATTAAAGTAGCTTTAATTTTTAGATTTGTTCACTTTAATCCCAGATTTTTTTCAAGTTTCCAATTTGGTCTCTCCATTCACTAAATTTAAATCAATTTGACCATACCGTCAAAATTTATAATTCTTTGAAACAAAATTGTTTGGGGAAAGATTTTCACAATGGAGTTTCTTGTAAAGCTCACTTCCGCCAAGCCTTATTCAAAGAAATAGCAAAATTACCAATAGAACCAATTTGCTTCATATTCGATGAGTTGAGGGATTAAATTAAACGCTAAGAAAAACTTCGGAGCAACATAAACACATCGAAAAGTTTAAAAAATTATTTGATTTTTTATTTAAGAAAAAATTCTCGAGAAAATAGTGAGAAGTTGGAAAACTCAGTACCATGTAGTCACTCGATCGCTGAGTCAGATCAATTGCTGTCATGCAGATGACACAGTCAGTGGCTTGATGGGTATTGTTCTCTAGTCTTCTATTATAGCTATACTTTTCGGGTAATATCTAGAAAAAAAAGGAAAGGCTAACATAAGAAACACAGAGATGATGACGCACATTTAATGTAAAAATACTAAAGTTCTTGTATGGTTCTTCATGAGGATGGTAATAAGTAATATTTTGTTTCTACACAAAGCTACTGTCACTTATTCTCTGTGTGACATTTGTTCTAGGAAATTTGAAGATGCTTTTCTTATCTTTTTAGCTGTTCTTTCATACATAATATTTGAAACTGACTTTATAGTCATTGTCATTTTGTCAACTATTAGTAGCTAGGACCTTGCTCTTGCCACTTGGAGAAAAAAATATATCGAAAAAAAAAAAAGAGAGATCTGTGGAATGTTTTTTTCTTTAGCATCTTCATTATATGGATTAAGAAAAAAAAAGGTAGATGTTTTTCTAACAAAACGGAAGATGAGAGGTTCATTTAGATTTAATATTAGAAAACTTTCATTTTGCCATATTTAACAAATCTAGATAAACGTGTTAAACATAAGCGCAACAACATCAATGAAATCAACAAAATTATTAAAAAGAATCAAGTGGGCACTCATCATCAAGAACTACTACTTATTTTGCCATAATTGTACATTTTAACTAATTAATTGTCTTGTTGTTCAATCTTCTTTGTGTTATTTTTCTTCTTTCCATCGTATTGTTTCCTATATTTCTTTTTTACTCAATGAGACGTGTTTACCCAACTTTTTAATAATTTTTTTTCCCTCCCTTTGTGCACTTGTATCCCAGCTCCTCAGAAAGATAATAAATTACGCAAGAACACTTTAAAGATATATAAAACAATAACTTTGGAAATAACTAAACATATGCCCTGCCTAATTTAAAAAATGGGGCATTTGCATACATATCGCCCAATTCTTATATGTGAACATATCTAACACCTAAACTTTACTTTTTTACCTTAACCCTTCCATACATCGGTAAGATGTTATGTAAAAATTGAAGTTTAGGTGTTGGGTTTGTAAATACATAAGAATCGAGTGGTATGTATGTAAATCTTCCTTAAAAAATACATCAGATAACTTGCATACCTGGTGAGGAATAAACCATCTAGATCCGAGAAAATGTTGTAGGATAAGAATCAATGCTTGAAATCCCATGAATATGCACAGTGATATGCACCAACTCCGGTCAACTTCTATACGCATAAAGTTGTTTGGGCAGCCGAACATGTATAATGGAATTGCGAGACGAGTCACACTCATGCCTAATATATAATGAGGGTGCATAGGTTTTCTCGTATCCCGAATAACATTGTTGATGATTTGAGGTATCCAAAATGAATACATAATGAAAAGGATTGGGCGCAACAAACTGTGGAACTCGTACATTATAAGAATTCCACCTAGAAGGATGCCATCTGTAATTGGATAGAAAATTAATCAATTAAAAAAAAATAAAGTTTACATACATACGACCCAATTCCTATGTATTTATATATCTAATACCTAATCTAATACCTAATCTAATACCTAAGCTTTGCTTTTTTACATTTATACCACCTAAATATTTCATATCACATAAAAAATACCACCATTTCTACTTTTAAAAAGTGAAATACACATTTTAATGCATAAGTAAGATGATATGTGAGTAAAAATTATAGTTTATGCGTTAGATATGTAAATATATAATGTAAATCTTTAAGAAAATAATACAAATATATAAATCTTATTGTTTAATGCAATCAAATGGTTCAGTGCGCATTAGGACATTGTAGGAATGAAGAGAGAAATAAGGCAGTATTTCAAAAGTGAAAATATAAATAAATTCTTACAGAAACGGCTGTAAAGGACTGATAGTTCACGTCTCATTGCCTCCCAACCTTCACCATTGCTTAAAGGTCTACTAGCCTTCCAAATAGCAAGAAGGTACCGCATTTCAAAAATAGAAAAAACTACAAACTTGAAGAAGGCTGCTGTCGCAAAAGCATTGAATAGAGACTCTGAAACATAGAGAAACAAGTAAACATAACTACGATGATAATGTTGCACGAACAAAGAGTAAAAACCAAAAGAACTATACTATTGTACAGGTCCGAGTTGCTTAAAACAGGACGACAACAAATTTACCATTAATGAAGATTAGCAATGATGACACTAAATTCGATATTAAATCTAATGGCAGTTATATATATATATAGACACACACACACAAAAGGAATGGCTAGAGACTATTATACGAGCCTCCAACCACCTCTAATGTGCCTAATAAATCAAGCACCACTTGCTTAAGGCCAACTATGTCAGAGGGAATTCGAACCCCCAACCCGAGGGGTCTTATAACGTGAATGCTATATATATATATATATATGAGAGAGAGAGAGATTATAGGAAAAGTCCAAGAGCTGATTTTATTGAAATAGAAAATGATACATAAAGATTGTATGAGAAAAGCCCAAAAAAGGCACCCTACCATACGATACAAGTACGGTAATACCCCAACAAAAAGATACAGATAGACTCAATAAAATGTAAAACAAATTTAAAACATGCAGAAAACAAATAGCTAGGGACGGACCAATTTAGTCCTGCCTCTTCCTCTAGTTTTAGGAGCGGAACCAGATAAACTTTGAAGAGCCGTGCCATTGCCAAGAGTCACCAAAGCATCATCCATTAAGTTTCCAAGTTGGAGTGAGCCCCCAGCCTTCTTCTTCCGTCGAGAAGTGTAAATTTGTCATTATTCATCTGAAGACTAGCTCATGTGATCCTCGATCTGATTTGATGTTAGAGCCGCAGTAGGAGGAAAGACAGTCGATGTCACCGCGATAAGTTCCAATGTATGTGAAGTGTGAATTGTTACCTCTGCACCTGATGCTTCCTGAATAGGAGCTGCGGGACTATCCTGATTTTCAGTTCGAACATTATCCGTACAGTTCGAACATTATCCGTTGTAGTATGGTCAGGAGAAGAGATCCCAGGGGCAGACACCAACTCTTGTCTTGTGGTGATTAGGTTTGCTGGAGCGCGTTCAGGCACATGAGGTGCACTAATAGTGTGTTCCTGTTTTTGACTATTGGTTCTCAACTGTGGGTGCAATCTGAAACTTTCTTCTGCGGCTGTCCAAACATCTTGTAGTGCTTGCAGTAGTATGATTTTTATTCCATAATGATTTTTTACCAATAACCATTATGAGCAGATCCAAGCTAGACTTATTATACATCTGGTAGTGTAATATCTCGTTCAATCAGAATCCTTGCAATATAGGCCTTGATAAATGAACTGTAGGTAAGTCTACCTCCAAAGGTTTTCCAAGAATAGTCTCAATTGCATATAAGATAGGTAAGTCAAAAAAATGAAGCTTGAGTTCAGGTAATGAGAACCAGATAGGTGCAGTTGGAGGTTATTGACTGGGATCAAAATTGGGGGTCCATTATATATATATATATATATATATATATGATCGTTCATACTTCTTAATGTAGAACCTAAAGAGAAATACTATCTATAAGCACGAAAATGTGATGAGATAGGTTTAGAAGGGTATAATGTTTAGTTATGGTGCAAGTTGTTTGAAAGAGTTCTTTGAGAAATAATTAAACCAAACGCAATATAATGACTGACTATCAAAATAGAATTCATTAAGCCAAACCACAATACAAAAGGCCAATGATACATATTTGATCATTTTCCAACCCATAAATATAATGCAAGCAATGTTGGATAGTTTTAGTGAGCAAAAGATCAAGGAAAATATACAAAAGAATCATAAATGAGCAGTCGTGTCTCGTCATATGTTTTGAATCATCTTTTACAATTTAGCTGATTTACATCTAACATTCTCTGTCATATAATTATAGAGCAAAGTGCCAAAATAGTCCCCGAATATTTAAAACGAGTTGTTTTAGTCCTAGAGTTTATTAAAGTGTCAAAATAACCCCATATTATTTTAAAATTGAGCTCTAATAGTCTTCCATGGGAACTATTTTAGCCCATATTTAAAGAGTCTGGGGACTGTTTTGACACTTCTATAAACTCTAAGACTAAAACGGCCGCATGTAGATAGTTGGAGACTATTTTGGCCCTTTACTCTATAATCATATTCTATTCAACAGGAAAGTGCTTAAAAGAGTGGTGATAACGTCATTAATATCTTAGCATTGTGAAGTTCAACAAGGCCATAAACTAATTAAAACCTAACATGAGGTAGAAGAACATAGTTCCTCATCAAAATATCATCCTCATTATCATCATCATTATAGTTACTATTACTTAGTTTTATCAAAAATAATTGAGGTTGGGCTTTACTTTATAGATCCTCATTTCTATTCATTCATCCTGCGGGCTGCATGAGCTGTAAAACTATTTCTTATAATCATTTTTATACAAATTCTATAAAGTTACCTTCAATCTACCCCATTTTTCTCCTAATCCATTTATAATTAAATTTATCAATGTATCTAATTATTGCATATTCAAATCCTCCTACATGCATGAACTACGCAAGGCTATTTTCACTATCTCATTTTCAAAAGAAGCTCTCTCAAATATATTCTATTTAATTTTGTATTTATCTTAATATTCATATTTCTGCAATGCTTAACTTGTTCTTCAAAGAATTCTTTATTGTTCAACACCTAAATCCATAAATAAATGGCCTGATTGCTTTTTTAAATTTACCAATAACTTTTCATGACTTTATTTGATCTTGTGATAATGTTAAGGTGCTTTCTATTATAATCAATTAGCTTTAACTTCAAAGTATATATCACCATTCATATTTTGATTCTTACGTATAATAGATCCAATATACTTAAAACTTATCACTCCTGAGCACCACTTTATCTTCAAATAATATTAACTAAAAATAACTTACATCACACCAAAAATTATATACATATAGTCCATTTTTATTTTTCTAATCATTCTCCTTTTATTTCTTAAACATTATCTCCATCATTTTAAGACTTTACTCATTTCAAAAGGTGTCGAACTAATTCAAATCATGCCTTAAAGAGAAGCATATACTAAGGTAACATTTGAATATCATATTTTAATGTAATATTGGTTTTTATTCTTGGATTGTCACATAGCATCCTCAAACATCCAGCTAGCCTTAGCGCAAGGTTGTTTCTTCCTTTTGATCCATCCAATTAGCAGACTAAGGACTTGTAGTTTAGCTTCTTGTCCCTCCTAGTGGAAGATGGTCACGAAGCTCTAAAGGTGAGACATCTTTAAGTTTCTCAAGAAATATCGTTACCTCCTACGACATGTCCTCTTTAGTCTTTTGCTTCTTATCTTATCTAAGCAAAACTTCCTTTAAGGTGATTTTCCTTGGTAGCAATGTCATTTTCTTTGAGTTGGCTGCCTCGACTCGCAAAGATGCCAATCTTTTTAGGCCTTGCTTGGTGGTTTCAATCATGGACACCAAACAAGCTTCTCGATCTCCACGGTGCACTAGCTAACGAAAAATGTTATGAGGAATGCTTTGTCTTGATCTAAGAAGTTCATCCACCAAATACAGTTGATTAACAAGTATCTCATTTTCCCCTTTCAACTAGGTAAAAGAATAGGCTTAAGGATGCTTCTGTGCGGCCAAATCCAGTTTATTCACTATCAAAGTGGATATCATATTCTCACAACTCCCACCGTCAATAATTAGGCTGCAAATCTTCCCTCTCATGGTACACCTAGTGCGAAAATATGCCTTGGCTATGAATGATCATTCTTTGGCTAAGTCTTTAGACCACCTTATGACTAGCATCTCTCCCTCATCTCCCTGGAGTTGATGTTCCTCATGTCGGTCCTCCGTAGTTTCTTACTTACTCACATCTTTGACGGCACCCTACTTAGTGAAGGAAACAACTCGACTCGTAGGGCAGTTGGAGGTTGTGTCCGTAGCCATGACACCTAAAACATCTCTCAACATACACTGTGTTGAGCGTGTTACTCTTCTCGGGCTTCTTTCTAAGACCTATCTTGTCATTCCCCTGTCTAGTCTTCCCATCTCCTCCAAATGTAACATTGTTGGTAGCTCTATAGGTGGTGGTCTTTTTTTTTATTATTATTGTTTCTTCACCTTCAAAGCTAGGTTTTGGATATCTTTCAGTGACCAATAGAGTTATAGTTGAACAATATTATTAATACCAGATTCAGACCTCGCGAAAATATGGCTATAGTATGTTCTTCTAGCTTGACCAACTCGCATTTCATCTGAAATTGCTCAAATTGTGTCGTGAACTCCTCTACTTATATATAGGTCTCTCTGTTATAGGTGATGTAGCCTCAAAAACATATCCCGGTGATAGTGAGGAAGTAAGTACCTCCTTTGCATCTCCATCATCTTCACTTATTTTGTAATCTTCTCGGTTCCTTCCCTCCTTTGCCTCTGCAAATTTTCCTATCACAAAGAACTCTTTTCAATTTGATGACCACGAGATTCACCCTCATGTCTTATGACACCTCTTTGTATTCGAAGATTCTATTGATCGACTGCAACCATTAGAATGAAATTATTTGGATCCATCTCTCCTTAGAACTCCAGTAGATCCACTTTCACTTCGAAATCTCTTTATCTTCCATACGTCGTCTCCTCCCTGAGTCTCATCTGATAATGAATTCTGAAGCAATATGATCAGTTCTCCTCATCAATGAAGTCCTCCCTATGGAAAGGGTTTAAATTCTTGTCTCTTTCTCCTATTCGACTCCCTGCATCTTAATCGAGGGTAATTTCCCCTTGGGTTCCGCCATCAATCTCTGCAAACCTCTACTGAAGTCGACGAATCTCTCACTGTATTTATTCTCAAGTATGTTCTGGCACATGTCTCATTGGTGGCATAGTTAAGATTTGGATTTGTGGGAATGTAGGAGGGCATTGGGATGGGGTACAATAAAATTTTTGTGGGTGATATGGGGGGAGCTATTGTATAAAAATTAGAGAAAGTCGTCTTAGATGCTTTGGTCACATTAAGTGTTGACCATTTGATGATCCAATTAGGAGAGTAGATGTTTTAGATTCGACTTATGTTAAGAAAGGCAGAGGTAGACCTAGGAAGACTTGGGCTTATTGTATAAAAAATAATCTTAATTTATAAAAACTAAAAGAAAATATGACACTAAATAGGAATCAATGGAGAAAAATGATTCATGTAGTCGGCCCCACGTAGTGGGATTAAGGCTTTGTTGTTGTTGTTGTTGTTGTTGTTGTTGTTGTATATGGAGGGAGCTAGAAACAATAGCGTAGAGATAGGGTTAAGCTAGCTCTGATGTCGAATGATACCGAAGTTAAGCCAAATAACAATAGGGAAAGTAAATATTATTACTCAAAAGAAAATAAGTTACAAGCAAAGATACTTGAAATAGGAAAAACAACAAAAACACAAATACCCCCCTAAGGTGAGGTTCGAAGGTGGTTGTAGTTCGAGATGGCAGAAATTGAGAGTTGTATGTGTTAGGGTAGTCTATGGTCAATTAGGGGAAGGTTGGTCTGCAGCTGGATAGTTGCGGAGAAGCCTGAAGAAAATGAAGGTGGCGGCAGCAAGGGAGAGTAGGGGTGCAGGGTTGTCCGGTGGCTAGACAGCAAGTTAAGTGGTGGTGAGGAACTCTAGGAAGGGCGGTAGCAGACTTGGGGGTGGTTGGAGGCGCTGCAACAATCAGGAGAGGGGCAATAAAAAAATAGAGGGCGGTAGAAATCAGGAGAGGGAAGGATACACACTACCTTAGGATGCTTACAGTCGAAGTACCTTCTCGACCTCATATAAATCCCTAGAAACAGAAAAGGGACATCGACGACTGTTCTAATAGAAATTGAAAGCAAAAAACCGACTTAATACACAAAAAATAACATATTTATAGATTTAGGGTAAAGAGGAGTGGGCTCCGCTCCAAATAGGAGGGAAAACCAAGCTTGAAAGGACTGGTCGGTCCTTCCTCTGCCTGGACCAAACCGGTCTCAAGCGTACGCGACAATTGGCGTGCGTCAGGGACAGTGATGCCGCGCAACAAATTAAGATTGTACATTCTGCAATGGATAATTAGATTTATAAATTAGAGTATTGATTCGTGCTTCTAAGCCTTCAGCACTTAAAAAGCATGTTTCTGATTCAAATTTTTATACATCATGTTGTAATATGATAAATCTTATAACTTTTGATGATCATTCTACTTTGCAACTAATCCATAATATAGTTCAAGATGAAATAAGCATGTCTGTTTTCCTTCATGAATGTTTATCAGTAGTTTACCCTCAAGAAGACAACAGATTCTCACATCATTGCATTTAGATTCATACAGCTAACCAATAGTTACTCGCAGAAAAATACATGATTTGGGTGGCATGCACATACCTTTACTAGAATTTTAATATTTATATTCCTTTATGTAAAATAAATTGCAAAAGTGTAGAAATGTAGATTCAGAATGATATTAAGACTGGGCCAATATGATAGTAGAAAATAGCACCGCGCACCTACTAATATTCCAGCTGTCAAATGCAAAAGACAAAGATATGCATCCATAATGGCCTGCTGACCAATCATCACAATAGAAACTTTGGCCGCACCCTGGAAGAAAACGACCAAGTGCTCTTAAATGCACAAATAATTTAAATGCATGCACTATTAAAAATTTTTAAGTTGTTTAAATTTATTTAATTTTATTAAAATCAAAAACATATTGGACATTAGCCTTCTATTTGAACTAGAAATTATTGTAAAGCTACAACGAAACCTTACAGATTGAGTATTGCTATGTTCCATCTGTCGAATCAGCAGCAGAACTTGGAGGAATGAAATCTATTTAGTAGAAGGTCAAAGAAATCTAAGCTATCATGGTTATAAAAACTAGGAAAATTTACGTATTTAGCACAAAATTCTTATGCATTCACATATCTCACAACTAAACTTTAATATTTACATACATAGCACTTTGGTGTTTTAAATATATGCATGAAAAGGTGTAGTATGACACCTTTTAGAAGTAGTAATAGTGCTATTTTTAATGTGATATTAATGATTTGAGTGATGTGCGTAGATATGAAAGTATAGGTGTGAGATATGTAAATACATAAGAATTATGTGCCATTTATGTAAATACCCATAAAAATAGTTATGGGAAAATTTAATTACTGTACTATTGGTCATGAAGGATACAAAAGTGACCATTAATGTATAGTTAACGGCTTTGTTATAATAGACCTCAACATTGAGTGAAGTGGCATTTATTAGTATAGGTGAAAAGCACTCTCCATCATCCTCAACAACAGGACTCTCCATTAATCCCTCCAAGTGGTAGCAGTCATGTTCACCATCTAGACAGAAGTTAAAAAGCAGCTATTAGCACAATGGAATAAGTGTATGGTCAAAGAATGAATTGTTATAAGCTAAGTTATATCACTATGCTAATATTTTTATAACTCGGAACATAGAAGACTAATAAAATAACCGTCTTCACCGGTCTTCCCGCCTTATTCATTCCCCACCTTAGTATAGCCTAGTAAGGATTTTACGATATATAAAGGCATGAATGCTCTTCAAATGGTGATTAGGATAAAAAAAATAACTATCAAATAGTGATCTAAAAGTATTCAAGGTCCTTGGAATAAGAAAAACTGTCAGAGTTAATCACCGAAAAATTTGGGGCGATTAAAGGAAGAATGATTCTTAGTTTATGCGACATTCCAAATGAATCTATTCAAAAAAGCTTGCTTAGGGCAAGACTCTGTAATTTCAAGTCACTTTGATGCCTAAGAAAGTCATAACAGGCTGCACAAATCATAGAGAAGAAACACATACAAGATGGACTCGAATCAACAATTGTATTTGGAACTTTGATGTTATTTAACTCCAATTACGAATCAAGATTCAAAATTCAAGAACTAAAAGCTGAAAGAAAAAAAAAATCTAGCTACGTAGGCCTTTGACCCTCAACCCCACACATATAAATGAAGATAGAAGCAATTACAAGAAAATGGGTGCTTTTTGGCACCTACATATGAAAAGATGTGAAATACATGAGAGGACTGTTGACCTCATTTTCAACAAGGTCTTAGTTTCCTACTCCAAAAACCGAAAATCTAGCCTCAGAAGTTCCTTGTTAACCATCTTAGCAGACTAGAAATGGAGTCCATCTCCCAAAGAACTTCAAACCACTTCTTGACTCATTTTTATGAAAAACTCGCATGAGTGGTTCCAAGCACTCAACTTCTAGTTGCAAGGACTAAGGACTAACATGTAGAGGGCCTGAAAACGAGTTCCTACAGGATCAGACAGCCATAAGTGAGCCCTCCATGACTCGAACACTCGCGAACACCGCAATTTACTCACTCACCCCACCACGAATGATGTTGACTTGAATTGACGTGATCATCAACAAACTTGTCCGGACAACCCCAGATGACGAAACTGACCATGTCGGCGCATCCGGAACGTCGACTTTAGCTAAAAGAGACGCCCATATTGTTATGGTTCCGTGCGTGAGCATTTAACATGAAATCGATGCACATTTTTTTTAATTAGCAGGGCGCAGGCTCGGGCTCAACCCAAGTTCAACTCCGGTTCGATTTGGACTGGACTTGGGATGAACAAGGGTTAAATAATTTTTTAATTTTAAATTTAAAAATTGAAATGAGTCATTTAATCTTCTCTTAATTAGAGTTAAGATTTTCCATTTGAACGGGCTGCATGAATGGAATTCATTCAATTCCCCGCCAATGCTTGAGTAACGTCTCTTCGGTTATAAAACCTCTCCCCTGCATTCAACTCCATCGGCCTTTGAAAATTCGGCTCCCCCAGCTCACCTCTTCTCCTCGGCACAAAAGTCCCTTTCTTCTGCACCCGCTCACCTCTTCGTTGCAAAAAAAACCCGTCTCTTCCCCTCTGCACCGAAAGCTTTCCCTCGCCTCTTCGTCCTGCTCGAAGCCCTGCTCTTCTTGCTGAAGCACTCCACCGCAACTATCCCGCCTCTCCCACCTCGTCTCCTCTTCCCTGCACCAAGACCCCTCTCGATCCCGCCTCCTCATGCCGAACAAACCAAGCCGCTCGTCTCCCTCTCCCGATCGAAGCTCCAAAAACCCTCGCTCGACTCCCTCCACCGATTGAAACTCCTGCGCGCCTCTTCCTCCACTGATCGAAGCTCCAAAAACCCTCGCTCGACTCCCTCCACCGATTGAAACTCCTACTCGCCTCCCTCACTCGACAGACTCCTTCTCCTTGCGCCGAAGCTTGCTCCCCGCTCCTCTGCTCAACCAAAGAAGCCCATCTCCTGCTCGCGACCGAAGCACCTCTCCCGCTCGCGACCGACGCCCTTTCTTCTCCCTCGCGATACTTAGCCCCTCCTCACACCGAACAGCCGTTCGACTCGCCCTTCCTTCTCCCACAATCCTTCTTCACGGAAACGCCTCATCCGACTCCCTCTTCTTCTCCCGATCAAAAACCCATCGCTCCACTTCACCGCCCGCTCATTTTGAAGCCCACCACCTTCTCTCTCTCTAACACGAAAGGAAGAGACGAGCATTCTGTAGACGTCGTCACGTCCTTGTAAGCACAACAGCTGAAGCAGATGAGAGTAAGGAGAGCGGCTTGTGGCGTTGCACTAGCTCTGCACGACATTCTTCTAGTTTTTCATCTCTTGCAAACACAAGGACGACATTATATCAACTCCTGCTGTAAGTGGAACAATCTTTCCTGGGATTATAAGGAGAAGTATCATCCACATTGCTTGAATTGCAAGTTTTCAGATTTGGATTTGGCTCATAGCTGAAGAGTTGTGCATTCCCCATTTAAAGCTCACGACAATACATTCTTTACAAATATCTTCACGGTCTATTTCGAGTTATCCTAACTTCACAAAGCATTGGTGCGGGATCCTTTGGGATTATACATCATTTTTTTATTAAAGTTGATTTTTTGTCTTTATTCCTCCAGCATTTGGCCAAGAAACATAATCTGGACACCAAGCTTGCTTACTCATAAATGATGATGCCTCTGCGCTTTCATGTTAATAAAATTATCATAATTACGACCTGCTTTGTATTTGAGTGAAATCTCAAGGTTTTGTTTTGCTTTTAAGGAGCATTGAAGTTCTAATTGATTTATTTTTACTGCTTTCTTACCACAAACTTGGCAAGCTTATTTGATCCAGTTTACATTGTTATTTTCATGATTTAGTTTGGTTTAGATTTAGGGAATTATTTTCATTACTTTCCTTTAAACCTTAAACCAACTTTGACAGTTTTATTTCGTTAACCCTTCATACTCCGCCTAAAGATTTGATTGAATCGATCAATCGGGCTTCACTAGCCCTTGCCTTGATTAAATTTTTTGGTGGAAAATTTACATACATACCACACAATTTTTAGGTATTTACATTCCTAGCACCTAAACAACCATACTTACATGTGCACCACTCAATCTTTGTGCATTTACATGAAAAGGCCTATCTAAACTTTTTAAGGATAGAATCGCGATATTTTGATGCAATATGAAAGATTTGGGCGGTATAAATGTAAGAATCGAAGTCTAATTCTGAGATATGTTAACACAGGAATTGTGGGGTATGCATGCAAATCTTTATTCGATTCTTCTTGGTCGGCTGCTCGGTATTATAGTTGTTTTGAAGAAGGATTGGGGTGTCGTTCTAGCTTGTCATTCTTACTGTTTTGTCTCGACTTTTCACCGTTTGGACACTATAAATGGCTGGTTTCAGATGTTTTATATGCTACCCGGGTGCTGATTCATTTACTGTTTTTTGAGGGGCTTTGTGCCCCATTTAAATGTTGATTTTGGGGGACTTTACTTGCTACTTTAATGCTATTTGGAGGGTAATTAAATGGTGTTTTGGGGACTGTTTTGGGCTGATTTTGTTGCAATCTTGGAGCCGGTAAACTCCTTTTCTTGGGCTGATTACACACTGTTTGGGCAGCGTTTTGAGGTCTGATTACACACTGTTTGGGGCTGATTACACACTGTTTGGGTATCATTTTGGGGTGCATTTGTTGGTTGATTTGGAGAGGTTTGCGCACTGTTTTGAAATGAGTTTAAGGGCTGTTTTGAGGTTTTTTGTAGGCTGGTTTGGAGCTGCTTGAGCACCGTTTTGACACTGTTTTGGCACTGTATTGGAGTGCTTTTGTTGGTCGATTTGGGGCAATTTATGTACAATTTTTTGGTGGTTTTGTGGGCTAATCTTGGAGCCCTTAAACACGAATTTTGAAGCCTTCAAATGCACAATTTTTGGGAATGTTAAAGGGCTTGTTTTGCTGCACTTTCTTGGGTACGTTTGGTGCCTTGTGGATTGCACTTTTTGGTTCAATTTTGTGGCTTTCGGGCTGTAATTTTCTAAGTCTATCTTGTGGCTTTTGGATTTCATTTCTTTTTATGTTGAATTGGAGAACTTTCGGGTCGATCAACACTGTCTTGGAATGGATTTAAGCATTCTTTTCAGAGTTCAATTTAATTACAATTGTTGAAAGATTTTAAATGCTTTTAGGTTAATTCACTTGCTATTTCCCCTATTGGCTTTGTTAGTTTTGGAAGTGGGTCGGCCTTCTCTTTTCGTTTGTTTTGTTACTTTTGTCTAATGGTTAAGTCAAAAATGAGAGTTTCTGATTTAATTATTTGGAAAACACTTAATTTAGGGCAAGACACCTTAAACCACTTCAAGCCCAAATTAGAAACGTAGGCTTCCTAGACTTTAGGAGCACACCCTAGGTGAGTGTTCATCAACCTAATTTTCAAAGGAATGATGAAACGAGACATTTGACCTCAATCCACAAATCGATTAAAGCACTAGACACAAAGATGCACCAAGATGCGAGGCTTCCTAGATTTTAGGAGCACACCCTAGGTGAGAGCTCATCTACCTAATTTTCAAATGAATGATGAAACGAGACACTTGACCTTAATTCACAAATCGATTGAAACACTAAACATGAAGATGCACCAAGATGTGGTTCACGACTTCCTTGGTTAAATCAAACAGTAAAATTCTCGCAATGACTTAACCTACAGTGAAACTCAATGCACCGGGATTCGAGCTTGAACATTACACTCAAATTTTTTTAGTAATTGGGGACATTTTTTAATGCCACATATGAATCACCGGACTAGAATAAGTCTAGGGTCTAGGTGACAAGGGCAATGACGACACTGCTTATGTGTGCTTAAACGAGAGATATGAAATGAGATTATTAGAATAGTATCGCCTACCTCAAGGACCTTCAATGATGAGAGAAGATAAGGACCGATGATACTATTCGCCAACCCTTGGAGAGATTGTTGCCCCCGATGCTTTTAAGTCGCCAGTAGTCCTAGCACGATTAGAGAGACTAGTCTGTGAACTACACTATTTTACATTTACAAAATAAAAAAAAAATTTCTTTTGCCTATTAAAGTGAACTTTGCATGTAAATTTAAATAGCAACTTTTGCATGAAAAATTAAACAATTTTGGTAAAACTTACAAAGGTCCACGACTAGTCACTTGGATTGAGGTTAAGAACTGTCTTCCGTAGATTGTCGGGTTGATAACCTTACCCAAGGTTGGGAAGTACACTACAACTCTGAGCCCCCACCTTTACTGATGTCTTATACCTAGTCTTGGTCTTCCATATGTGACCGCGAATTTTGCTTTGTCTGTTCATATTTTGCTACGACTCATTTTTCTGACTTTCGTACTGAAATTTCTCGCTTTGCTTATTTTTCTTACAAGTTTATTTAAATCTGTTGCAAATCATACTATGCTTGTAATGTTAATCACGCAATAGCAGCAGATGCCCAGGTAAACTTTTACAGTTTACTTACAGCATTTTATTTTACTGCATTTTAATTTTCAAGCATCTTTTATTTATCTGCAATTTGCTTACTCTGCATGCAAAACTAGAATCGAAACCGAAACCAAAACCAAAAAACAAAACAAAACCAAACTTTGACACAAAAATTGTGAAACATAAACCACCAATGTCAAACACTTAAACCCTGGAGCCATCGCTACAACAGGAGCTTGGAGCCAACTTTGTGAGCAGCTTAGCGAGAAGCTTGGATCGAGCAATAAGAGGACATTCTTCAACATTATCTCTTCCTAGCATAATAACAACCCATAAGACTTCGAGGTGGCTCGCCTAGCGTGACTTAAATTCTCACACCCTCTTTAGGCTCCTGTACAACCATGTTGTGCAGCGTAAGTCCTAACTCGCCTTAGGTTTAGAGGTTGTCGTGTGGCACGGCGTAAACCCTCTTATCTCTGTGGACTATTTTTATAATCAGATGTTATGCAAATGTAAGTCTCAAATAATAAAATTGGCAGAATCAAACACCTAAATAACATTGTCTCTAAAACTCAGTCACACATTAGGATGGTTTGAAAAGTCACTGAGGTTTCTCCTCAAGATCTGTGACATCTCCTACCTTTTCATTTCTTTGGACTCCTGAAAAATAATTGTTCATATTCGAGTCACTCCCACTTGTCTTTTCACGTTCTACCGTGAAAACCTAAACTTTGAATTCTTGAAGACTAGTACCTCTAATCATTATTGAGAGTTTTCTCAAGTGAAGCTCGTCATTTGGGATGTAATAAATTATAGGGGTTTGCCTCTATAGGGAACTTGGAACCCAGGTAAAATAAACTCTACTTAATCTCTATATTAAGTAGGAGAACTTGTCGTTCACACATAAAAAGTTTCGCAGGCCAAATGGATATCACAAATCTCTTAGTTTGCAGGATTAGGTCTATCGCCGAGGTATACACTCATTTTTCGGGAGGGTGTAATATTCGCGATATTGGCATGATTATGTAAACTATTGGATGATTGAGATCCATTTGGTCTCATTTTTCGAAAATAAAAATATACTACTTTCAAAACCCAAACTATATACCTATTATATTAAATTAAATTTCAAAATTATTTCCAATTTTCAAAAAGTTGACCGACAAAGACATGACAAAGGGATGTTATGACATCTTAATGAAAATAAAAACATAATGAAGAGAAGCATTCCCCAGATGTCACAAACGGAAACACTTTGGTTAAAAAACAATATGTTCCGCTAAGATCAATGCATCTGATTTGGAGTAATCCCTTTAACAAACACACAACGCACTTGTAATGGAGTAATTCATTTAGCTTGAGGAAAAAAAATGTGCCCGCCACAAACATAGAACAATGATTTATGTTTTTGATCTCCTAAACAAATGGCAAATAACTTATATCTAAAAAGAAAATTCAATCAAAATTGGATCTTTCACATGATCTATAAATCAAAAGCTTTCATGAAGTTCGCATTAGAATTTGTATATGCACCAAAACATCAAACTCAACATGAACCATGACCTGAATTTAGTGTTGAAATTAAATATGAGATCACGTCTCAACCAAACTTGAATTAGAAAATGAATCCTTCCTAACTTTAAAATTAGACAAATCATGTCTATAAAGGTTATTAAATCATAAGGATTATTTCCATTTATCAAAAGAAAAAGGAAAATTTTTAAGCAATCTTACAAATGTATTTTTAAAATTTTCTTCCCTCTTGGAAAGCATATCCAATGGAAAATATATAAGTGCACATCCCAAAAAGGAAGGAGACTGGCATTAGATATAATGGGAACAACGAAGAAATTATCCTTTTAACAAGGATGTATAATAAACAAAATGTTCGTAGTTTAAGCGAGCACCAATATAAACAACCTCAGGAGATATCGGCAGATTTGTAAAAGAAGAATCCTACAAAGTTCGTATATTTAGAGGTTCATAAAGCTTAAATGAGAAAGCCAGCATAAATGAATTATTTCAATAAACCTCCAATGAGAGCAAAGTGAAGAGAGCAAATTACAAATAAACAACAATAAACAAGCTTTAGATGAGCTAATACCAGCTTGTCTCGACGAGATCCGTGAAACATGGGCAGATATTTCAATGTTGCAATGTTTCTCGATTTCATCCGTAATTGCTGAAAAGCAAATATCAAGACTATGAAATGGCTGTCAAAATTATAAAGAAATATATAGCTTCAAAATGAAATATTTTCAGCATTTACAAAAAGCCCATGCTATTGTAAATCTTGTTTTGGATAATAAAATGAATTACATTAATCTTACATATTTTCTTTCTCACTGTATCCCTGGGAGATTCTTGAAAAATTTGAGAGGAAAATGCTCCTAGCTATGTCATGCAAGAGAGATAAGAAGTGAAAAAATCAGCTCCAGTGTCAGAAGAGCTAGAATTATAAGGAATCTTCTTAAGAGAATCTATAGAACAATATATCTAAAATAAAATATTAAAACTAGAGTATAAACAATGACGAAAATTAATGGTGTTCCATCAGATGCAGAATTCATGCAGATCTGCATGCTTAAGCTCAATAAAAATGTCGATAAAAACTGACCTTAGTATATTTATTTAAGAAGTTCTATTTTATTTCTTAGCCCTCAATTTTGGGTATTTGACATGGCTTTGATCTTGAGAACGAGATGTTCTTTAAAGTTTTAGTGACATCGTGATGGGATATTTGAATACGTGCATGATAACTGTACTGGACTTGACAGCTAGAGTTTGTCTTGAATTTGGGGACCAAATTGGAATGATTTTGTGTCAATTATATCTACTAACCAAAGAATAAAAGTTATTAGTTTCTGGAGGCATGTAATTTGATTAACTTTTGAAGAGCCAAATTATATATCTTGGCATCTTGCTTTAAATCCTATGTGCTTGTGGTCTGGAGGAAGATATCTCCTTCTATCAATGTGATGCATGCATTTTTACCACCTGGTGACTACTTTTCCTTAATCTTCTTCTTAAATTTTAAGTCCAATTTTTTGGTCAAGTTTAACAACTGGTAATTCAATCGCAGCCAAAAATTTTGGTTGTTTGCTAATTTTTTGTAGTTTGAATTTCTCGGTCATTTCTTCAAATTCAATATATTGTTGCATTATCATTTTGGTTCAATTTAACAGATTTTGAATTTACACTTGAAAAAAATGTGCAATTAGTGATCTTTACTTTGTGAAACCTTTCCTTTTTTTTTTTTTTTGGCGATTCACATTTATGGCTTTATTCACATTTATGGCTTTCAACTTAGTAAGCATTATGAGAACTAGAGCTTTAGCTGTCCTACATCATGCATGTTTAATTTATGATAGAAGTCATTGCTGTCCAATATAGTTACATGAGAAGTAAACAAAAATAGAACTACCACAATGCTCTATATCTTGATAAATAAATTCAGAAAAAGGAAACTGTAAAACTAAAACATTGAATATACAATTGGAAAATGTTTACTGTTTACCAAATGATAAGGATTCGACATAAAGTGCGCTTCTTGTAGCAGCACTGCATCTGATCCACTGCAGCAGAGAATAAAATAAACATGACAAATAAGTTGTGAGTGCTAAAAAAAAATAGAGAAGTGAAAGCAAAATTTTATAACCTTATATATATATTGAGAAAAAAAGGGACCAAATAAAGCGCATTAATAGAAAAACAAATTGAAATGAACAGCAGCAGCAGAAATAAAAATAAATGTTGAATAATTTTTCCTCTTAACATTCTAGAGAAAACAGAGCAATAGCATATCATAGAAGGCAAACCACAACTCATGATTAGGTCACAAGTAAACTAACAAGAATAAATCCATGCATGAATTTCAATTCATTCACTCAAATGCAAAAAATAAAATTTACAAATATTACAATTAACAACGAAAAGATTTAATAATGTTTGGCTGAACTAGCAGCCACTCATGATTAAGGTATTGAAAACTATAAGAACATCAAACTAAAAGAAGATGATTCAAGATTTAATGATTAACTAGGGCTGAACCTTGATGACAGCAATAGAAAAATAATAGAAATAAAATATTAATAATAACATTTAAATATCATCTTCATTAACTTTAGCCCGACTATTTGGGGATGGCTTTATGAATACTCAATTTGCTTACGATGAAGGTTGCTTGAGCTGTTAAACCTAACCATCACAGATCATTTTGAACCAATCGGTATCCATTATACCTTAGACCTACCCTTTTTGCATCCTAATCCTCCAACACTGTTCTTCTACCTCTAATTGGTGCATTATCCACTCTTCGTTGTACATGTTGAAATTACATAAATCTATTTTCAAATACAATATCTTTAACATACGTCACTCTAGATGTTCCTCTAATATTATCATTCATTCATCCATTTTAATTTTTCCTCACACAACTTAACTTTTTAGTTTTGTAATGCTTAACTTAACAATTAAAAACTTTTTAATCATTCAAAAAGCAAATTCATACAACATTCCTGACCTAATTACAATTTTATTAAATTTGCCTTTTAAGTCTCTGTGATATCTTCTTATTCAATAGCATTCTTAAGGCACTTCTCCTTTTTAACTATGTAATCTTAACTATAGAAGTTTTATCTGTCTATATCCATATTCATTAGTAATGATAAATCCAAAATACTTAAATTTAAGGCACATAGATATCAATTTATCTTCTATTGATACGGATAATCATTAATAGTAAATCCATTAAAATTGCATGTTATTTACTCATTCACTACTCTACTAATTATAAGTTATTCTTCCAAATATTTTTCTATTATTATAACTTTCACTTATTCGAATAGATGCCTCATCGATTATGGACATGCTATATGGAAAAAACATACATCAAGGCACTACTCTTTAAATATCCTTAGTAAGCATCTTCATTACGTATGGAAAAGGATAAATTGGTTCTTAATTCAAACATATTATAATTATAAAGTTCTTGGTCAACTTCACAAGTAATTTTAATATTAATAATTGCATAATTATACATATTTTTAATAACTCAATATACCATCAACATACATATCTTCCTTAATGCACACCAAATTACTTCTTGTGGAACTCGATTATATGATTTAATAAAAAATTAGTGAAAATCATATAAGATCTTTTATTTTTTTCTCAATGACTTTTCATTAATTATTGTAAAACAAAACTCGCTTCCATAATCAATTATTCTGGCTTGAAATCAAATCTTCTTAGTCTATATTTCTTAGTCAATCCCAAAATTTTATAGTATCTTATAAATTTGATCCCAATAAGATTTAAAAAAATTATCTTAAGCTTCCAAACTTTCACTGAAAAATTGTTAATCAAGCAATTACAATATCTCATACAACTCTTCAAATCTCAATAAATATATCATCAAGGCCCAGAGTTTTATATTTCATCTAATTCATAACTCAATTTCACTATTTCAAATAAAGTTTTAATATGTAATTATTTTATTAAAAAATTGGCATAAAAATCTAATTTACTAATTTCTCAAAATAACACTTCTATATTTCCATGAAGACTTCATCATTAATGAAGATCACATTATCCTCGCTCATAATGTATCTAACTTGATCAATGTCTCATAATCTTTTAGCACTTACCTTAGTTATCATAAAATAACTCATTTTCTTCTTCCTTTATCATGTACTCAAAATTTATAGATTTTTCTTTGCTGTCTACCTTCTTATTTATTTTTTTCCACTTCATAAAAGCACATCTTTTCTCCTTGATATAAATTATACCTACCATTGAGTCTCCCTACCAAAATATCTAGACTTTCAAAAGCTTCTAAGACTTTCTTAATGCAATGAACCATCTTATCCAACATCTGATTTGGCTCAACCAAAATAATTCAATTTACTTCCTTTTTTTTTTTTGAAAGGTAAAACAATCATTTCCTTAAACAGTTTTGTTAATACTCCTAAAATATAGCTCCATAATTACTCTATGCAGAGCTGTCAAACTTTAAAGTAAAATGAAGAACAATCGTGATTTGGTGGATCCAATTGTTAAAAGTAAGAAGCCTTTTTCTAACTTTTTGCAAATGAAGGATCATGAACCAATGCAATAAACAAAATAGAACTTCCAATATATTTATATTTTCTATTCTATACTCACAACGAATCCTCTTATTGCTCATCCTCCTCTCAATCCATGTAACATATTTAATCATACTTTAAAAATACATGAAAATATCACCAGAGAATACTTATTTGTTGCAAAAATTATCCAAAGTATCATAATGATCGCTAATAGTTCGTAACCATCACTAAATAAATCTGCCATTTGGGTGTTAAATGTAACATGGAGAAAAAAAGTCAAACTATGAACTTCCTAGCACTTAAAGAACATAAGTCAATAAACAATAATAACTTAATATATTAAGGAAAAGGTTAAATATCATGAGGGCCCATCACATTTCAGTTAAATCCCTAGTGAATTTTTAGATTTCACTATGGTACCAAAGTTTCATTTTCAATCCTCATAAAAATATATTTTTTTGTTAAAAGCATTGATTAATCTATTATTTAGTTCATGTAGCATTTTTTCACTTAAAATGAAAGGAATTTCATCTCAAAAAATAAAAATGCCCTCATATTCAAGAATCTTCTCCCATTTTAGGGTTAGGTCTTTTTAGATGATTTAGTCAAGCTCATACTAGAAAATGGAGATTCAAATAACTCTCTCAGTAATTAGCATTAGGAGCGAGGGCTATTTCTGCCTCAAAATACGGGGAGCAAGAAATGATGGAGAAAATACAAGGATATTATATTACTTTGTTCAATTGATGATTTTGCTAATGTAAATACCTGTATAAAATGTGAACTAAATGTTAGGAATTAAAGAAGAGGGTTTTTATAAATGTAGACCTGCATGGCCTACATGTAAGGGAAGCAATGCTTTTACAAGCATGCTTCAAAGATATTGGCTCAGTGATGAGGGCCCCACACATCACTTGCTTACAAAGTGCAAACTCACAACAAAAGGTGTGTGTTGCGTAGAAGTTTGGTTTAAACAATATCCTAGTAAAGATTTCATTACTCAGTTCAACATCTACTAGGCATGAACGTTCACTTCTCCACATTGTTTCCCGTTGCTCATTGGTCTTTTGTTCTCTCCTGCCGAAGCTTGTTTCTTCTTGGTGGTTTTATCTTCTTATTTCTAGATGCCTCATCTACACTCTCTGCCATTTCACATCGCCTTCATCTCATAATCTCGTCGGTCACTCAATATGAAAACTATTTTTTATTTTTAAGTATTTTGTTATCTCTTTAAATTTCTATCTTTTATTATAATAATTATTATTATTTGCTGCCAAATCATTAGGAATTTCTATTATTGAATATATCATTATATTTGCTAGGAATTGTTGCCTATGTAGTGTTAGTTTGAAGAATTAAATGATAATTACATGCACATAATATATGAAAACATTCTAATTTGAAAAGTGTTATATTGTTCTACACTTTGCGCATTAAAGTCAAAAAGGAACACTTACTCGTCATATTGCACTCTTAAAAAAACACCAAAGGAAGCAATGTGATACTTACCCCAAAGAATAACATCTACTAAAAGTTCATTAATGAAGTCAGTTTTCAGAGAAATATAAGTAGATATCCGATCTAAAAGATAAAGGCATGCCTAACGCATTTAGGTCCAGCCAATGCAGGGAGTTTATGAAGGGGTTGATGCATGCAGTTTTGCCCTTGCATTAGCAAAGATATTGTTTCGGGACATTTACATGTAGCAACTCTAATATATTTACATATCTCACACCAAACTTTTTTATTTACACACATAGCACTCGCCAAACTTTTTTATTTACACACATAGCACCCAAATCATTAATATCAAATAAAAAATAGCACTTGCTATTTTTTAAAAGTGAAATACACCTTTTTATGCATAGGTTTAAAGCATTGAAGAATACAGAAAGTGAAACCTCTAGAATACATAAGATAAGTGCTAGGTATGTAAATTTCTCCATTGTTATTGTATATAGAACGTGAGACCTCTAAAATAGACTAGAGGCGATGTAATAAATATCAAACTTCTTCCTAATAGCCATTCAATGTTCATTGCATTCACAATTAAGCCATCACCAATGCTTGCAATCCTAAAGGGTTCCAAAAAATCTCTTTCAAGTGGAACAGTGTAAAGCATTATTGAATAAAAAGATGAAATAATGAAGTTTTTGACTCTATCCAAATTGGAAAATAATGAAAACGAACAGAAGAGAAAGAAAAAGAGATTAAATGTAGCAAACTAGAGCATGTGCTGCACATGGAACAAAGTAAGCACTAGAAAGTCCCATAAAACACCATGAACAAGGTGAGAGTGGATAACATAAAGTACCATAATATCAAATGAAGAAGAAATGAGTACTTTGGTGGAGCAGCCTTCCATTAGAAAAATGAATGTTGAGTAGATCGTTAAGAAAACTAGAGAAAGATTAGAGTAACAACTTTTGAGATTAAAGATAGAGAGCTTATTATTTCGTATCTAGTTCCCTAGATAGAGGAAGGAGGTTAACCGGCAGGCTTGGAGCAGTCTGTCATATTTGTAGCTTTACTTCTGTTTCTGCCAATCGAACTGAATGGAGAATGAAATGTCTCTGATCACTTTTCTTTTTTTTTGGATGAATGTCACGCTTAGTACCAAATACAAATAAAACTTTCACTGAGCAATTAGATTCTAATGTGAAAATTTTTAATTTGATCAAATATTTTTAAATAAAAATTGTATTTATTTTTTAGCCGGGGTACATTATAGAAAATACAAGCTTTTAAAAACAATTCAAAACCTCATCCTGCAAAGTTCATAGAAAAAAGAGATGATTATAATACAGCCAAAAATAAATCAGTAATTCAGTTTGTAGGAAAATTTTCTTCTTTTGCGGATTTTAGAAATTAACCGTTTTCACTTCCGCCCACTTCTAAAATTTAGCATTCATGAGTAAAAGAGAGATGAAGCTTCTTTCTTACTATTTTATAATATTCATCAAGCCTGGCCTTTATTTTAGTATGTTTCGCAGCCCAAAGTAGTAAGCCTAGGCCAATAATTAATTTGGGTCAAGTTGAAATCAGATTCTAGCCATGGATGAATACAGATCACAACCATAATATCAGATAAAATGACAAAGATATATCAACTAGCAGATCAAGGCATCTATAAGTTAAGAAAACAAAAATACATGAAAGGGATCATAAGCATAGATAGGCCTTGAATATCATTACTGAACATAAAGTTGGCGTATTTACATACATACCACACAATTCCTATCTATTTACACATCTAACACCTAAACTTTACTTTTTACATTATATCACCCAAATCTTTTATATCACATCAAAATTATCACTATCAACTTCTAAAAAGTAAATACACCTTTTCATGCATATGTTGCCATACTGCTATATATGTAAAAATTAAAGTTTAGGGCTTAGATACGTAAATACATAGGAATTTAGTGGTATGCATCTAAATCTTTCTGTAAAGTTTACCTGCTTGCCACCAATCGAAGTTGCCTGAAAGGCCAGATATATACACCTTCTACTCGCATTTGAGCAGCTCCAAGATCATTCTCATTGTTATGAACATCATGAAAAATAACTGCTCCCTGATAAAACATAAAGTAGAAATATAAAAAACTCTTGATGTCATTAAAAATCCTTTAGACAAATATTATATATGACAATGCTGGTAAGCTTTGCCACTCATCAGATCACCAATAATTAACTTTTACAATCTTAAAAGTAGTCATGCTTTTATCTAAAAAAGAATTAACTTCAAAAAATGGATATAGGGCTGCCAGAGGTGGATGAAATAATGTTCAAATTATATTATTATTTCCCAGACGAATTAAAACGCGGTTAAGTAAATATTATACTAATTAATAAAAAAATATCCTAAACAGGAATAATTTATTGCTCAAATTCCCTCATCTGAAGTTAGAATCAGAAACTTCAAATGGAGAAATAAAGACGGGAAAAATGAAGAGAAATATAAGAAAAGGACAGCTGAGTTCTATCAATTAGGACAGTCAATCTTGCTAGATTTTTGTGAATAGTTCACCTTGGTGAGTAGTTTATTCAATGAGTAGGCACGAACATTACCTAGCTCAATCAAATCTTGCTCAATAAAAGCTTGATTATACTGATAGGCATAAAAATGTGTATATATGTGATAAATATATGATTGTATGAGCCTATGGAAGACTTTGAGCTTGAACAATAACTATCAGTGCTCACTCAACAAACCAAGCCAAACAAAATTCAGCTTATTCAAGCTATAAGCTCATTTACACGCTACCACTACCATCTGTAAGAATAAATTTTCTATAATTTAGGGTAAGTATAAGAGAAAGAATACAAATTAATTAATTAAAGAACTCACCACAAGGAGGTTGGCAAGACAATAACAATGGGAAGATTATTCACACAGTTCAATAAAAGCATTATAGAAAAATAATCCAACAGAATATCAACTTATTAAAGGATAGTATTTAGTAAATAGCGATACAATTTCTGTATCAACCTTCTAAGTCGTCAACAAGAAAAAATAAACAGCTACAATGAATTCAAAATCGAAGCACCCACCAAAAACGAGGATGGTGAAGCAAACAAGCAAACTTTAAGCTTCTATAATACAAAAATAGAAACATTTCAGAAAGTTCAGCAATTGTACCAAATTCACCACCAAAAACTGTCAGACAAGAAAATATAAAGCAAACAAGCTTCCCCCTCATGCAAAATTATTTTCAAAAAAAGGAACCAAGAAAGCTTAAGAGAGCAATTGGAGCTATAGCTTAATAAGATTTCAAGTAAAGCTTGCCATTGTATACCAGTCATCTGCTTATCCACCCACGTAAACAGTAGAATCTTCTTTGTGATAATTTTATGTTGGCATATCACTTCAATCCCCCACGTAGTGGGATTAAGGCTTTGTTGTTGTTGTTGTTGTTGTTGTTGTTGTTGTTGTATCACTTCAATCATTTCTAAAATTCAAGAATTCTAAATTTAGCCCAAAAATAAAAGGGAAAAGCACCATAACTGTCCCAGACAAAACTAGTCTATATATATACAGATCTCTCTCTCTCTCTCTCTCTCTCTCTCTCTCTTCTATATATATATATATATATATATATAGAAAAGCCCAAGGGCTGATTTTATTGAAATAGAAAAGATACACAAAGGTTATATGAGAGAGCCCAATAGAGGCACCCTACCCATACGATACCAAGTACAGTAATACCCCAACAAAAAGATACAGATAGACTCAAAAAATTAAAACATGTTGAAAACAACTAGGGTACGAGCCAGTTTAGTTCTGTCTCTTCCTCTAGTTTTATGAGCGGAGCCAGCTAACAAAATTTAAACTTTGAAGTGTCATGTCATTGTCAGGAGTAACCAAAGTATCATTCATTAAGTTTCCAAGTTGGAGTGTGCCCCTAGTCTTCTTCTTCCGCCAAGAAGTGTAAACATGTCATTCTTCATCAAAAGATTGGCTCATGTGATCCTCGGTCTGATTAGATATTAGAACCGCAGTAGAAGAAAAGACAGTCGTTGCCACAACGATAGGTTCCAGTGTATGTGAAGTGTGAATTGTCACCTCTGTACCTAAGTGAAGTGTGAATTGTCACCTCTGTACCTAATGCTTCCTGAATAGGAGCTGCGGGGCTATCCTAATTTTTCGGTCTGAACATTATTTGTTGTAGTATGGTCAGGAAAAGGGTTCCCAGGGGCAGACACCAACTCCTGTCTTGTGGTGATTCTCTTCTCAAATTGACTGTCATCAGGTTTGTTGGGAGCGCGTTCAGGCACTTGGGGTGCGCTAACAGCATGTTCATGTTTTTGACTATTAATTCTCAACTGTGAGTGCAATCTGAAACATTTCTCCTGCGGGTGTCCAAACATCTTGCAGTGTTTGCAGTAGTAAGGTTTTTGTTCCATAATGATTTTTTGTTAATAACCATTAATAACCATTGTGAGCACATTGTGAGCAGAGCCAAGCCAGACTTCCTCTACATCTGGTAGTGTAATATCTCGTTCAATCTTCAATCAAAATCCTTGCAATAGAGAACCTTGAGAAATGAACTGTAGGTAAGGCTGTGGATAAGTCTGCCTGTAAAAGGTTTTCCAAAGATAGTCTCAATTGCATATAAGACAGGTAGGTCAAAAAATTGAAGCTTGAGTTACGGAACATGAGAACCAAATAGGTGCAATTGGGGGTTCTTGACTAGGATCAAAATCGGGGTCCATTTGAGCAATTTCATATGTTTATCATCGATTGTGATGAATTTCTTTGAGAAAATCCTTGCGTAATCTTCTTCTATACTCAGCTGTATCATAACATGTATTCTATCGAAATAATCCACTTGTCAAGCCCCAACTAGTTTGAAATATTTAAAAACCTTCCTGATAGTCTCCATCTTAGGGCAACCTAATTGAACTTTCCAACTAGAGCAAATTTGTATTTTTCTGCACGAGTTGAAATTTCAGCGTCGGAGAAAAATATTGCTGGTTTACCCGCCTTTTTCTCAACTTTCTCGATGAGATTGCAATCTCCATGTCCTGCAACAAAATCATGGTACATATGCGGGAATATCGGACTATCTGCGAGGTGGAAATGAGAGTTGCATTTGTGAACCACTGTAGCATATGAGGGTTTGGCGGGGTTATCATCGGCGAGGGCGGCGGCGTAGAAAAATCCTGAGGCCATTACCGCGGTCAGTGCAGAAGCAGCTCTGTCGCAGACAACGCAGGTGTCGGCACAGCTTTCGAGCAGAAGCAGAGCCTGTAGGCGCAGCGCAGACGAACACACCGGGTAGCTCTCGGGTAGCTCTGCCGCTAGACGACGCGAGCATTTCCCAAAGCCGAAGACAAAGGCGACGCGAGATGCTAGGGTTCACCATGAGGCGAAACCCTAGCAGAGCGGAACAACGACATATCATATATATATATATATATATATATATGTGTGTGTGTGTGTGTGTGTGTGTGTGTGTTTAATTAACAAAAGTAGATGAATGCTGAGTTATTGAAGAATAAGAACTATGCCTGGAATAATTATAAAATTTTATAGCATTACTTAAATATAGATATCAGAAATTCGAGCCAGAATCATAAGGCAATTTTGGGCAACCAGAAAATGACCACCTAAACTGACTCTATTCAATCTTACATACTTCTGCTAACTTCTATGTGCTCTTTTTAGTAAAGCAGAAAAAGGTCTAGTTGATTGTTTCTGCAAAAAATCCTATAATAAAAGATGACCATAAAATTAAGATGATTACAAAATTGGCAGCTTTTGGAAAATCAGTAAAAGCAAAAAATAAAATTAAAAATCTTCAAAGTCGATTTTTAAACATAACAGATAATTGAATAGTCATAAGAATTTCCAGTTTTCTCTAGTAGTTTTTTATTATTGCTGAGAACTTTTCACAAGTATTTAACGTTATCTTGCTAGCCATTAATGGCTATTTTAAACACTGTTTCCATAGTTTTCAAGAATAACAACTAAATTTATGAACAAATTCATTGTCGTAGGAATTAAATACAGAATTTTATTGATGGGTATTTAATTCTCCAGTATCTTCGAGTCATGTTATCTTCAAACAAATGTCTCTTTTTAGACATTTACAAATTAAAACTGTAGCTATTTACATGTCAGTTTAAAAAAAGATACTGCTATTACATGTTGGTAAAAAAAATTAAAATGGTTACAGAAGCAAAAAAAAAAAAAATGCTAGTTCACAGCATTACTGTTGTTTATTCTTGTTAACAATGAAATTTATAAGGGGCATTTGCACACATACCATCCAAATCTTATATATATACATATCTAATAACTAAACTTCACTTTTTACATTTATGCCACCAAAAACATAAAAAATATCACTATTTTAAGTTATAAAAAGTAAAATACCCATTTTCAAATTGAAGCTTAGGTGCTAAATATGTAAATAGGAATTGAGTGGTAAGTATACAAATCTTCCAGATTAGAAACATAGCATAAAACAAAACAAACAACAATGGATAGATTGCACTACATTAATATGTCTGAACTGAAATCTACATAAGATGATATCTCCATTTCCAAAACAACCCTTAAAACAAAAAAGATGTTTCTGGGTTGAAATCAGGAGAACTTGCCATAAATAATTGAAGTCAACTTGTAAAGCTATGATTTTCTTGCAAATAGGAGTTCAACAATTGCCAAGTCTGCAAGTAAAATTTGAGGAGGTGCTTAAAAAAGAAATGAAAAAACTAAACCAGATGCAAGAAGGTAAAACCTCCCATAACGTTGTGAATGAGAAAAGAAAACAATAGGCATCAGCAACTGGAGATAAACGGAAAAACAGGAAAAATTCAATGCAATTTAGAGAAAAGGACAACGATTTAGCCTTTAAACATGAAACATGAATTCCGAGAAAAATTAATACATGTATATGAAATGTATAAGAAAGAGAAAACTAAAGTAAATTCTTTGCTTGCTAAAGAAAGTTCAAACAGGAAAACTACAGAACTCTCACCTGAACATAGTGTACGCCATTTATTTTTGTTGGAGTACTAGCTAACTCCAAAACAGACATGCCATTAGATTTTCCAAAATCCAAAAACCTAGATGAACGTTTAGCTGTACCCGCAAAACTCCACTTTCCTGTACTTCACATGTTTACAAAAGAGCTGTTAGATTTTTTTTTTTAAATAATGATTATTAAAAAGCAAAAAGACACAGTATGTGAATGGTAAGTCATTATAACGAGGCACAGTGATCGAGATTCAAGAATAAGTAAGTCAAATTGGAATTTAAGGAAAACCCCTGCCCACGCCTAATCCCTATGAACCATGCCAATCCGATAATCTGAACCAGAATATCCTTAGGAACAGGATGGCTGACAGATTGCTTAAAAGCTAAAATATTTAAGGAAATTTACATATGTGGCACAGAATTCTTATCTATTTACATATCTCACACCTAAACTTTCCTATTTACATATAGCATTTTGGTGCTTTAAACCTATGCATAAAAAGGTGTATTTCAGTTTTTTTAAAGAGGAAATAGTGCTATTATTAATGTGATATTAAATATTTAAGTGATATGCGTGTGGATATGAAAGTTTAGGTGTGAGATATGCAAATACATAAGAACTTTGCCCTATGTATGAAAATGTCTCAAATATTTATCGCCAAGCTTGGCATTTCCAAAACAGATCAAAAGAATTAGGTAAGTCTGGGCTGGCTTAATTTCACTATTATGGCCACAACCTACGACCAACCCAAACATTTGTTAGGCCAGGTCAAATGGAACAAGCAGGATTACTCAACATGTTTATGCAATTATGTAATGTTCACTTGTTCGATTTCTGTTTATTTCAGTGGTTTGATTAGTTGAACAAAAAAGGTTTCTTCAAAACAGATTATCATCTTCATCATTAGCACCGTCTCAACTATTTTAAGGATGGTTACAAGAAAGGAAAATTTACATGCAAACCATCCAAAACTTCCTAAATAGGATATCTAACACCCAAAACTTTTAATTTGCTTATATGCCACCCAAAATTCTTAAACTTATCAAAGGTAGCACTCTGTCATCTCCATTTATTTCTCCATGAAATATCTTTCTTCACCACACAAGAAGCTTTGCACTTCGCCGGTGAAGCTCAAAGGGAAGTTGCTGGGCTGGAACTGTATATAAATGCTAGGGTTTTTTTCATTCTATGGAGGTTTCTCTGCTTCTTCTTCCTTGTATTATTTTATTTTTTAAGATCTACATTCCAAGCATCAGGGAGAGGGGTTCTGCCAGGCCATGAGTACAACCAACTCATTTTGTTCTCTGATTTCAATTCATCTGTTGAAACAACATAGTTTTATTATTTTAAATACCCTGCTTTAGCAGATTGGGAGTTCTCTATTTTTAACCTGATAATGTTTATATGTTGACAGCAAAATGACAGTTCTTTGTTTTGCCAATTTTTTCCATTATGAATGATCAGACAAGGATAGTATATATAGCAGAAAAAGACAGGCCTCAATGTGCCGCTAAAATCTGCATGAGTTTTGTAGTAAATTGAATTCCAAGCTGCAGCTATGTTTGACATTCGTGTATGAATTAGTAGTCAAACAATAGATATGTTGAATGGTAACCAGAAAAATTTTATTAGAAAGAATAGGAATCTTTTCAATCTTTCACAGTTAAATTTGTAGAAGGGTAAAAACTATTGAGCTTTTGGATTTCTGCAACCAACAATGCAGAGCGTCGCTATGATCTTAGGGATGACTCACTGAGGAGAATTTCCTAGGGGGTGACGGTGTATGAACGGAAATGGTAGATTTGGTGTATTAAGTTTTTTTGGTTGGTTGTATATAAGTAATTATAAGTTTTAGGTGTTAAAGAAGTTATTTATAAATATCGAAATCTGGATTTGGATTGTTATATATGTATTATTAGTTCAATGTCATTCATTCTCAGTTTGCCAGCACAAGCATAAAAGTATGTTGAAGATAAAAATAGGACAAAACATACATAATCCAGAATAGTCTTAGTTTGCTTCGGTATACCGGTGTTGCTCAATCAAGGCACACTCATAATAAAAACTATAAAAATAATTAAAAATAAAATTAAGTATTACAATTAAGAACTAATAAATGATATAGCTAAAAGATTAGTAGAGTTAACAGATGGGCAAATAAAATTATTTTTCGAAGGTTGGGAAGAAAAAGAAATAATTGAGGCTAACATTTATAGAATTGCATCTCATGCAACATTCAATATAAATGAATGGAGAATAGAGATCTATATGTTGACCTCATTTTTGTGAGGTCTTTTCTTCTCCTCCTTAGAGCCTAGGATCTAGCTCTAGGAGTTCTTATTGATCGTCTTAGAAAACTAGAATTAAGACCCACCCTTTTAGAAATTCTAGTCACTTCTTATTTTCCTTTGATGTATAGCATTTTTGGCACAAGACCATCGTCTTATGAACGAGCGGTTATGGTCTATTTTGTGAAGACTCAAGGGAAAAGTTCCTAATAGGACTCCAAGCTTTAGGAAAACATTGTCACGACTTTTTCGTCACATACACACACCAAATGCACAAAATTGCACGAAATCGGACTTCAATTAAGCCCAGAGGACGGATGAAAATGCGAACTTCTCCGGATGACCTCCGACGACAAATTAGACTGCGCCAACGCGTCCGGGTCACCAATTTTAGCTAGGAAGGACACCCATTTTGCTTGGGAACCGCGCACGAATAAATCACATAAAATTTGATATATATATATATATATATA